CACCTATATTCCAAACACTAGAGCACTAACTTGAGTTAATCTCTTTGTAAAGATTCAATTGAATTCTAAAATATCACTTTTCTAAACCACATTATCACTTTGTATCATAACACTGAATAAAATTGTTGTCTCTGATTCCAATGATTCAATACCTCTTACATGTATGGATTCTATCCTTGCAAACTAAATCAACTTCCCAATTAGATAACCGCCACTCAATTGTTTGAAAACAAGAACTGAGATGGATTGAGCAAACTGAGAGATCATTTCAATTTCATTAGAACTGATCCTTACACTCCCAATGAACAACATCCAGCCAACATCATATAAGAATTGAGTATGCACTGTAAGAAATAGCTCACAGTGCTTGGAATACCTTTTGAGATCCCTGACTTTAGGTAGCTATACCATACTTATGAACTAACTGTAGGTATATGCGATAGTCATGATTGGCTCCTCTGCTACTGCTGCTAATGTCACAAATAAAATTTTATGGATGAGTTTTAAGTACTGAAATTTATTAGCCCATTACTACTTAGGAGTAAAATCCTAAGTCTTTTGACACTGGACATGTTAAAACAGGAATGAGCATGGGAAGCCTATAGCTTTTAATTATCCCCAATCCCTAAAGTCCTGAAATTGCACTCTTGAAATTTAGCTATTTCCTTGTGTTTTTAAACACAATTCAGGGGCGCTAGGGGCGCATGACTCAAGAGCTGCTCCATGTCCATCTTTATCTAAGTCCAAAACTTTAAAAATGCATTTAGTGAACTCAGACTTGAATAATGAGAGCCACTGGACTTCAATAGAGTTCATAATTCGTAAACATCTTGCAGATTAGCATTCTCATCCATTTACTTTTTTCAAAGAAAAGGATGTAGAACAAATGTACACAAGCAGCATTTTCAGCTGGAAGAAAAAGCTATTCAACCACTGCAGCAAATTACATTTCAAGAATTTGATCGTTCCGCTTCAGTGTTGCTTTTTGGGGAGCTGGATTTAGATTCTAATGTGTGTTTTAAATAGTGTTCTGGCTACTCCATGTGTACACTGTTAAAACAACTTGATCTCAAAGAAAAGGAAGCTATATTTATAGATTATAAAACAATAAGAAATTAATAGAGAAAAGATAGCCTACTATCTTCCATGAAGATAAAATAACTTTTTCAAAGTGTGACAAATGATAAAAGCACTAGGAAAAACTGAGAGAGATGAATGGAAGAAAATCTAGCCTTTCAAATCATATTGAAATCTACTTGACTAATTTAGGTTTTATGGGAATGGAGATTTTTAAAAATAGAACGCTATAGTGTTTATTGTACTTTATATTCCTCCCCTTAGTACCATGAATAAATGATATATCACACATTTTTCCTTTTTCTAGTACATTATTTTCACTCAGGTGCAAAGAGAAGATAAAAATGCAGTCATGTAAATGACACTATATCCTCTATTGTGAACTCTAATTAAAATAGAAACTTGAAAAAACACCTGTTATTTTTATATTCTTTATACAGATTTATTTTACTTACGTGTATTTTGGACTTTCAAATAACTGTTGACTCCTGGTGATTGCCTAGAATAGTTTCTGCAACTTTCTTGGCAAGGTTTTTCAGAAGTGGTTTGCCACTGCTTTCTTCCTAAGATTGACAGAGGCTGACTAACCCATATCTACCTAGCTGGTTTCATGCATAAGACAAGACTTAAACTCACAGTCCCCTGGTTTCTAGCCTGGTGCCATAACTACTACACTGGACTGCATCTTAATTTACCTTTACACATATTTTGAGATAACCAAAATATATAGCTTAACAAAATTATAAAAAAAGTTATAACCAGTTAGTTGGGGAATAAATTTCCTTATAATATCAAATATTTGAAAGTGCTGGTTTTGTAGATAATATTTTCACAGGATAAATTTACTTGGGTATGTCTAAGGGACTAGAGAACCTGTTAATTTCTGAAGTAGGTCTGATATTGATCTCTATAAATTATGCAGCACAATTACTGAAAGATCAAAGGGAATATAATATTTGTGAGACCTTCTGGGGTTAAAAATGCTGGTGATAGGAAAATATAGTTTTGTAACAGAAAATACCTGTTTTTAGTTAGATTATTGGAGTATCACCTGAAATCTACACTGCCATGTAACTTTTTAAGACAAAACTAGTTAAGTCAAGTTCCCTTTTAATAGTAGAAACAAGCAGAGTGCACGCTTGAGCTAGAATATTTTCTTCTTTGTTTTCACATTGCCCAATTAAATTAATGTAGCTAAGAAAACTGAATGCATATTTGGAATCTGGGTTCCTGTATAATATTATGTACTTAAAGCTTCTAACTTAATTTTGGATTCTATCTGTTTTTTTGGGGGGGTGGGGTAGGATATAGATGAAGACTTTATTAATCCCATTTTCATATCTTATTTTATAATTGGACAAATTCTTTGCATTGAGCCATATTATGAGAAACCCAAAAGAGAATAAATTAACAGATACTGATTTAGAACTCTAGAATCTACCATGAAATAAATAGCCACTATTTCAATATTAATATTACTGTACATCCATGTAACTTTGTATCACCATAATGTTCCATACTTTGACATTTATTCCATCTTACTAAAAATGTTCCTACAACATTCAAATTTATGTTGCTTGCATAAAAAGTAGCATGAACTGATTATTGAAAAGAAGCAGCTCCTGACATAATACAAGTCTTGGCTTTAATGCTTATAAACCTTTCACTGATGAAGGCACTCTAGTGCTCGGAGTTTGTAAAAGATAATTATCTTTTACATATTCCTAAAATAAGTTAAGCTGGTTCTGACTCTAACCCAAATAAGTGCAGCTTTCAAAAAATGCACTATGTAGCAGATTTATAGCTATGATAGCCATATGTTTCCTTTAAAAAAGGTGAATTGTTTTCCAATAATTATAATTCTAAATGATTACGAAATAACAAGAGAGTGTTCTTGTTAGGAGGTGGCAAATGTCTTGAACTATAACTCCCCCAATCCCTCACCACTGGCGATTCTTCTTGTGGACGCAAGATCTTAAATCAAATACAGAAGGACTGCTTTTGATCCTCTACACCCCGCAGACAGAGATCTGGGCCATGATTTCAATTTTAAAAAAACAAAACAAAGCTTCAGTTGCTATGTTGCTTTGTCTAGCCCCATTTTAGCAGAGCCTCCATATCATACCTCTTAAGAGTTGGGGACATACAGAGATTTCCAGTTGCATAATTGTGAAGATTTCCCCCCCCACCCCCAAATCTGGAAAAAACTTAAATCTCTCTAGCAAGAAGTTGTCTATCTCTATTGTGGAATAAGGTTCAAGATATGAACACATCAGTTAGAAAATATTAAACTGGAGATGAATATATAGTAGTTGATCTGTACAGGACTTTTGCAGGATCTTTATTGTTATGATACTTGATGTTCCAGAAACCTAATAAAAATATGATTTATAAGTGTATTTAAAAGTTCCCATCTTTAACTTGCAAACAGTTAAAACAGCATCTTTAACAATTGCCTAAATATCTTTCTTAGAAATAAAAAGCCTTCTGTGAGCTCCCTTAGTCATTCATTTCTTTTCTAAATTGTTGTAAATAGTGACTGAAGATGATAAACTGACAACTTTGGGACAGGATGATTAGGCAGTTTGACATTAATCCGAGATGTGATTTAACTTATGACCGCAATTGAGCCCAAAATTTCTGTTGCTGAACAAAATGGTTGCTAAGTGAATTTTGCCCCATTTTGCAAACTTTAAGTGAATCACTGCCATTGTTAAATTAGTAATACAGATATTAAATGAATCTGGCTTCCCTGCTGACTTTGTCAGCAGTTTGCAAAAGGTGATCACATTAAGGTCACTGCAATTATTATAAATATAATTCAGTTGCCAAGTGTTTGAATATTACTCACATGACCACAGAGATGCTGCCCTGGTTGTAAGTATGAAAAATGGTCAAAAGTTCACTTTTTCAGTGCCACTGTAACTTTGAATAGTCACGAAATGAATTGTTGGGAGTCAAGGTCTACATCTCAAAAGCATTCTTTTTATTGTTACAACAAAGCTGTCCCTTTGTATGAAGCGATGAAAATACACAGTATATTACATTAACTCAGAATACTATTGGTCAGATATATTTTCACATGAACTGAAAAATGTCAGACAGAAATGTATACATCAACAGCCTTCTACACAGCAGTTTTAAAAGCAAATAAATTAGCCTTGACTTCTGGTGACTGGCTGGGCAATCCTTGCAGGACTTTTAGAAGTAATATTCTATTGCCTTCTTCCCAGGTCTGATATACTGTCTCAAAGCCACCCAGCTAACTCTTTGCCCAGGTTCAGGACTGGAATTCATGATCCCTCAGCTTTAGCCTGGGATCTTATGGTAAATTGCCACCATTTTGGATTTGCAATTCTTTTGGATGAAGAGAAAAAGTTAGTATTACCCAGAAGAAAGCAAAACTACAATACAGTATTACAATAAAGCACACTGAATTTGCTTCCCGTTGAGCAGAAAGGCATCCCTATTAGCAGAAGAGAGGAAAATGTCTTTCATCTCTGTAGACTGCCTGAAAACTGCTTCAGATGAATGGGAAACTCTTTGTTATGAGAAGATGCAAGAGAAATTAATTAAACAAGTATTCCTGCTGGTGGGAGCCTTCCAATTCTACTTAAACTTTTCATCTGTCTGTATCTTTTCTATCCTTTGTCAGCTTTAACCTATAACACTTGAACAAAACTAAAAAACACATGCAGTTTTGCACATAATAAGTAGGGCTTGTCATTCCCAAAAGATAAAAACACAAAATACATACTGACTTTTCAAGATTAACCAAGAATAGGAGAATCAATTCTGGATATATTTTAACACATTAAAGTGCTCAATATGTTTAATTTCTCACCTAAGCTTACACAGGAGTAACATATTTATATTACATTTTAGCAAAGTTGGGATGAAGCCAATAAATATGTTTCACCTACCTATTAGTTCTTTATTTCGGACATCTAAGGCCATATTTCGTAAAGCTGTTGCAACCGCACATACCACCCGATCATTGTCTATTCGAAGAAGTTCTACTAGTATAGGCAGGCCTTTTTCTTTCCGTACTGCAGCACGGATATATACTGACCACTGCAGGAAAAAAAATATGAAGATGACAAAGCAAATACGTATCATCAACTGAAGAAGGAGGCTATAACAAAAGTTATTTAGAGATGGAAAATAATAATAAACAGTTATCATTTTATATAAGTGAATAACTGCAAATCTCATTTTGAATTACTGACAGATACAGTTGTTGCTATCCTCATACTGCAGAAGCTTTGTTTGACAGTATAGTTTAGAATTGAACCAGATATGTGATTAGCCACTTCACAGGTTTTCATAAGGTTATAAGATGGAAAATATTGTATGGGAAAGTAGGTAATTGCAGAAAGTATGTGTGAACTGTGCCATTCCCCCAGATAACATTGATGATTGGATAGATCAGAAACAAATGAATATATATTTTGCTTTCTTGAACTCTTATCTACTCAAAACCTTTCCCAGATGGTCCAATCTACTTTATCATGAGCACATTCTGAAAAGCAGTCAGATAATGTTAGGTGAGCGTTTATTGTATGTGTCTATACATAAACACCCACAACAATCACACAAATACAGCGTATAATCCAAGCTCCCCAAATTCAGACAGCTAATTCTAATTCTGTCACTGTGTGCTGCTATATGCATCTTGAGTTTATGCTCTTTCCAATGTTCTGTATAATAAATCACTTTTGAAAGAGAATGCTGCACAATTAAGGTGGGATTAGAACAGGAGCCTAAACTACTTTAGGCTAATATATAAGTTGTATCAAATAATAATCCTGTTTATGTTTTCTTTGTGAAAACTCCATATAGAAAATTCCATAATTATCACTGTGAATCAAGCTATAATCTTATCTATGCCTTCAAGTTATGAACCTTCTTCGATATTTTATTAATCATGCAAAAATTCTTGGGGGTACTATCAATAAGGATATGTTTGTAAGCAATTATCCTCTGCTATCTTTCTTGCAAAAGAATTCAGTATGAGATGCTACTGTTCATTCTTCTTCCAAAATTGAGAAATAAATTCATCCTTGAATATGTTCACTATTGTTATTAAGCAACAGTCCTGCAAATATAGTCTACAAGTCAATAAATTTATTATTATTATTATTATTATTATTATTATTATTATTGTTGTTGTTGTTGTTGTTGTTGTTGTTATTTATTTACTAGATAAATTTTTAAAAAATGACAAAGAAAAACAATTTTTTGAGGGGTGACAGTGTATTTTGAAATTGGAGTATACTTAATCATCCAGTTAGTACATAAATCAGACTGACATCATCATTCAAATAATTGCTCAGCATGAAAGGGGAAAACATTCCTCTGAGAACAGTCCATTCTAATTCAAACTGAATTTCTGCAGTAAACAAAATTTTCTTTGCCGTAGCATTTATTTGCTATGCCAATTAAAGGAGGAAATGTCTGAAATATACTACTATGCTTTAGTTTGTCATTGTTATTATGAAAAATAATTTCCTTGACTTTATTCTTCCACTAGATTAAACTAAATCAATTTAAGAGGCCAACATGGCAAATAAAGTATGTTTGATGCTTTTGTTTAAATAACAGAGTTTCAGACAGAAGTAATTCTGAGTGGAGGATCATGAATCTGCATTGATTGCCCAAATCCACCATTCCTTCTGGGGAGAAATGGCAGTAATTTCCCTCCCCCCATCTTTGTCCAGATTTGAGTAGCCTGGATGGTATGTAGGACAGGCAGACAAACTTGCAACCAAACAATCAATGCACATATCCAATCCAGGGGTGGGATTCAAATTTTTTAACAACTGGTTCTGTGGGCGTGGCTTAGTTGGTGGGCGTGGTTTGGTGGTCATGTGGCTGGGTGGATGTGGCTTGGTGGTCATGTTATTGGCTGGGCGTGGCCAACTCAATATCACTCACATCGAGGCACGCATCTCCTCGCCTGGCCTCTCATGGCTGTGGGGATGCTGCAACAGTTGTAAGTGTGAAAAATGGTTATAAGTCGCTTTTTTCAGTGCCATTGTAACTTTGAATGGTCACTCCACACAAGCAAAGTACCAGCAAAGGAAGGGGAAAAAAGTCTAGTCCTGCCAGGAATGTAATAAGGGTTAATGGAGAGGCAGTTTCTGTAAGCAACACCAGAATGTTTCCTTCCTGCCTTCCTTACAGGATTAGGCCCATAATTTCTTCTAACAACCAGTTCTCCAAACTGCTTATAATGTTAACAACCGGTTCTAGCAAATAGGTGCGAACTGGTAGAATCCCACCCCTGATCCAATCTGCCTGAGCAGATAGGTAGGAGGGCTCATACTAACAATAAACTAAGCCTTAAAGTAGGGGAGGAAGAAATTTGCCCAGTTTAGCCTGAGAAACTTTCCTCAACTCTATTGTTGCTAGTAAAAACCCTTTGCATTAAGGCTGAAGAAAAGAAGAAAGTTGGGATATGTGAAAAAAGCAAATTACCTGGGAGAGAGGTAGAGAAAAAAATCTGGTGAAGGAGAAAAGATTTCTGGATGAAGAGGACAAAATGGAGACTAGAAGTAGCCACATGGTTTTGGTAACTAGTTTCTGGGAGAAGCAGAAAACTAAGCAACCTGTGCAAAAGGGAAGTGTTGTAAGAGTGATGCTAATTTCTGTGACTGGAGTTGAGGAAGAACACTGAATCAGAAAATCTACAGGGAAAGAGAATCAGGTCTGCTTGAGCATGGATGAGGTGAAGTATTTAATGGTTAGAGTATTGAGTACCTATGGTAAAAGCAGTATTTTGGGGCATTAGGTGAGAGAAGCACTGAACTGCAACTCAGAAACCTCTAGGGAATCAACATCTAAGAAAAAAAGCTCCTAAAATTTGGATAGAAACTTGACATCTATGGGAACAATTTTCAAATTTCTGACAGATATTAAGCTTTGGGATTTAGAATGAATGAGAAATCCAAATTCCATTCTGTATTTTTATAACTTGCAAACTGAAGAAGCTGCAGACTCTCAAACTCATCCAGTTAGTGCCAATGAGCACCATCAAATGTTCGCTCATTGATAAGATTGATCTGGAAGCCCTTTGTACTATCTCTTTGGCCATACCTCCCAGGAAAAAGAAAGAGAATCAAGAGGGGAGCTGAGAATCTGTTCTATTAGCACCAGTTGCCCCCGGTATGATGCATCTGACAACAGGACCTTTTGAGTCAGATTGGGCATTGGCTGTCCCAAGCACAAAGTGCTCCTTGGAGTGCCTGGAGCTACAAGCAACAGCCTACATGTGATATCTTCCAAATATTACAAGCGGAATGGAAGACAGCACCTTCTGACCCTACCTCGATTAATTTTTTTTTGCCTGATTTTTCTTGGGATTTGAAAGAACATATCCATTTTGAAACTCCCATATGGAAACACTAACAGGGTTCAAGTTAGGAAAATCTCAGGGAAAAATTTCCTTTCTGAGATAGCTAAATATTGTAAGTGAGATACCCATTCCTTGCATTAAGCTATTTAGTCTGCTTCATGAATTTTGATATTTTGAATGTGTCTGCTAATGGTTTCCAGTGATTTTTGAAATAGAGGTTTATTGCCCTGCTGTGACTCCATTCTTACATGTTTTGTTCTATCTGAGAACCTCAGATCCAACCCATTTGGTCCATGCCCAGTCTCTCCAAGAACTTATAACAGCCTTATGCTACCCAATTGGTACTTCAGAATAAAAAAAAAACTTTAATATTTAACTTAAAATTAATGTTTTAATCATAAAAGCTTTATTTGGATCACATCAAAAGGAGAGATGGCTGCTGTTCTCTGGCACATACCTCATATTACTATAGCCAGGAGCTGAGATAGTTTTCCTTTTTATAAGTATTATTATACATACAGGATACAGGCACATAAGTGCTCAGTCTGTGAGATTCCCATCTCTCATACAATTGATGTGAAGGAGAAGTCTGGCCCAGGCATTTGCTTCTTCCAGCAAAGTGGGAAGTGGCACAAGGAAAGTATTACATAACCTATAACCATTATACACCAAGAATGGCAGAGTGACAAGGGCATGTTTGGAAGGGTAATGATCCCTTTCGGCACCATTTCACCCTTGCCAGAGATTGAATTACATCACCTAGTAATCTTAGTCAACACAGCTGACATGAGGGAAACTGGAGGGGGTTTCTTACTCTTTTTTCCCCCAAAAGCAACATGAGAGTAACCACGGGGCTGTCTGTACTCTCTAATTAACACATTGTTAAGAGTATCTGGTTCTCCCAGACCACTTACTTGCTAGGAAACTAACCAGCTTAACTAACTAGAGAATGAGGTATTTTACACAAAGATCATATAAGCATGTACTTTCTTGACGGAGACAAATGGACACATGCAATGTTGCATTTCCTTCCATCACTGAGCATCACCTTCCATCATATTTTCAGATGCACATTCATATCTGAAAGAACTTGCACTCTTTGCTAATGATACTGTTACTGTATATCATAAACTTTTCCTGGCTGTCCCTGGCAGGTATTTAATCTCAAAAAAATGTTCTGGCTAACATGAAGCAAGCTTTATTTGCAATTGGACTGCTGTAAATAAATATTTTCTACATCATAAAAAGCCCCCTTATTGGCAAGTGGAAGATTAAAATTTCATTGCTTTAGCAAAGTCCATGTAAGTCTATATATAATTAGGGATTTTTCTCCCTTCAGGACAGAGCATCCTCTAGGGTCAAACACATTTTAGGCAAATTGACATTACAGAATGAAAAAGCTTAAGGTAACACTGCTAATTCTGTATGAATTTTCTGGGAAAGCAGATTATTTCATTCACTGCTCAGTTGTACTAATTTTGCTTGTCAAGCTCCCATTTCAAGGAAAGATTGTTTGGTCAGACGTGCTTACCTTGGAGATGACAAGCCATGCATCTTATTGATATAAAGGCTATTTTTTAGCAAGCTGTAGCAGGATAAATCATGTCTTCTATTGCCTGGTCCATATAGATTAGTATATTGAACTAACAGCATAGCATAAATAAAACATGCTGGTATAATATGGAAACAAATATATTAAATCACATCACAGTTCCACTACCTGAACCCATACATCTTGAAGTGAAACTAATTAAGTTTTAAGGAAGGATTTCCTGCTTCACATTTAGTCAACAGAGCCGCTTAAGGTTGTTTCTCAACCTCAGATAAGGAACCTAACTCAATTTTCTCATTTGTTCTTGGTAATTTCCTAAAGCTGTCAGCAAGGATGTTAATTGGTGCTAAATATAATTGGATATCTTCACAATGTTTTCACTCAAACAAATAGAGTTAAAGGAGGGAATTTGGCTCCTGTATTTTCTAATATGAATCATTAACAATATATAGATTCAATATGTTTGCAGTTTTAGGAATAGAATTCCTTATTGATATTACAGTAGAAAAAGCAAGTGTGTTCCAATTAGTATTTAATTATTCAATTTAAGACATCAATGCTGATTTAAGAATCTGGCCAAGCGCAGAGTGAAGGCAGATTTCATACCTTCCAGCTACCTGCAGCCAAATTCTGTAGTGCACCAGCTGCCCCTTCCAGTGTATCTGGATTTGAGCACTCAGAGAGAAGTGTGAGGTAGGGTTTGACTATGGATGGGTGCCATAGCATCTGGATTCCTTTTGGTGGTTCTGCACAGTCAGGGAGAGGACCAACTCCATCCCACTGAAAAGAAGAAACAAAGATGAAGGTTATCAGGATAGCAAAAGCGAAACACTTTCATTTAAATATAAAGATGTACTTCTATGCTTATAAATTGAATACGTACTCAAGGACACCTAATGCAAAGAAGTGTTTGTTTTGACCATTAAATAACTTCTTACCTGTTATTTTATTTACAATGGCTGAAAGTTTTCAAGTTTAGGAGCAATTTAATTCAACTTGTTGGAAATTAATGCCAAATGAGATTGATGCCATCCAAACTCATATCTAAATTAAAACTAAAACTGCAGCAGAATTGAGATCTGCCTGCCTGTCTGTCTGTTTATCTGTCTGCTAGTTTTCTATTAGTAGTTCCCAAAGCAATGTACATTTATAAAAAAATAAGCATAATGGGGTATGTCCAATGTTTAATTCATGTAAGGGATCTTCCCTTTTCCCTGAAATGAGAATGAAGGATCTGTATGAGCAGGTGTTCATATCTCTCCCCAAATCTGTTTTAGAGGATTGGCTGATCTCATTTGGTCACCAGAAAGATATAACTGGATCAACAATAAAAGGCAAAACACAATAAAACAATTTAAAAGATATATCTCAAATACGTACAAGTAGGAGCAAAAGAATATTAGTTAAGAACCAGTAAAATCTGTTTCCACAGACTTCAGTTCAGTCAGGCTTTTGCTTTTCTATTCTTTACTGCTACTTTGGGAATTTTCCTCTGTAAGTAGGCTACTCTTGATCATCTCTTCCTTTCTTCCTCATCTCATGATGACCCAAATATTCCTCACTAGCTCATGTTGTTTTCTCCAGATTCATTTTTTTTCCACCAAATTTCAAATTCTTACAGCAATACACACATACATCACTTCACCACCCAGCTTCTGTTGGTACTTCTTTTATCCCTTAGCTGGATGGCTTAATGGTGAGATGCACCAAAATAACATTTCTTGCAGCTCGAAGAAAGCTTCTTAATTATAGAAGGGCAAAAAAGGGCAGAAGAATTTGTTCATTCCAGAACCACGGGGTCAGCTTCCGAAAAGAAAAAGGGAAGAAAAAGATGGTTTCTTTGCCTTCTTTCCTATTGTCCATGGAAAGGAAGAGTCCTTTCTTCCACACACATAATGTAAGGAAGGCAACTTCAGTTATAACCAGAGATTAACTACTCATCTCATATGACAAAAATCAAGGTGATAAAGAAAAGGAAACAGAACTAATACTCAAGCAAGTGTTAAACTGGATGCCTCCAGACTGTGCAGAATACACACCCACCCACATGCACACAACATACACAGTCAACAGTGCATCATATGTTTTCAAGCAACAATTGTGATAGAAGAAAATTTAACAACCCATCTGGAGGTATCTAGTCATAAACCAACAAGTACAGAATAAGCACTCAATTTATCAGATGTATAAAACTATTTGGATGAAAATAGTTATTAGGATTGGGCTCCAGATTGCATAGAATAGGCATCTCAATAAACATACGTGACTAATTTAAATTCTTCCTTTAAGATGTAAGTCAGTCATGCATTGGAAGATTGTAATATCTCCCTTCTGGGAGTGTGGAAGGCTAGGGAATGAATTCGGCGAGCAAATAGTCTCTCCTGTGAAAGAGGTTGAATAAATAATTAGCTGGTGTGAGCTGCTTCCAAGGTAAGCCACCATCATTAAAAAGAAAATTCCAATCTTTCTGGAAATCAGTATCAAAATACCACCATCTTAATACTCTTCAGGTAGAATGAAGCCAAATATTAAGCTGATAAGCTATCCTGTCTACTTACAATCGTATTCTATGATGATGAAAACCTTCCTTGTAGAATCAGGGAAGCTGAAGATCCATAATTGGAAATCTAATGAGTATAATTCCAATTCTTAATACAAAATGGAGTTAGAAGTATCTCAATAAGAGAAATTATACTAGATATTTTAGAGATTTAAGCTCCTGCAGGGAACTCACAATGGCAAAGTCCTTCAGATATTGCATTCTGCATCTTTTATCATTCGCTATCTTGATTAGGAATTGTAATCTAACATTTTTAGAGCCACATTCTCTTCACTGCTGCTACATAAAGTTGACTTTTGGAATGCTACCACTGGAGTTACCATAAGCAAGGCATGATGAACATTCTAAGCTATTAAATAATTATGATAAGAAGATGATCTTGCTAATAAATTTTATGTTTCAGACTAAATAGAGTGATCATAAGGGAATGAATCTTTTCTAAAATAAATGAAAAAATCAGTAACAGGACAAATGTTAAATATACAATTGTATATTACAATAATTCCTGATGGATTTGTGTTGCATGCTTTGATGCTAATAATCTAATCAAAGTCTTCATGCTATGCATAACTTTGTCTATGTAATCTCTATCAATGTGTAGAAAGAAAAAGGGGAAGACCACAATTTAGGGTAAATTAGGTTTACTTAATATATGAAAAACAAGAGAACAATCTATTTTAGTATGCAAAAATCTATAAATGCTGCTTTCTATGTGTGGGAGGTGGACCAATAATGGAAAATGTTTGCAGTATGGAATCATACTGTTGGCCAAGACATTGTATTCCCCTGTGTTTTTCACATACAGAAAATTTAAGTATTTTCTGTAATCATAGGAGAAAAGGAGATTTCCATGTATTTAATTTAATTTAGACATTGTCTAACTCCATCTGACTCTGGGCAGTTCCCAAGTAATAACTTAAAAACCAATACAAATTATCTAGTAGAAGTAGATGAACTATCTAATAGACTTGCATACTGAACATTTTGTAAAATTTGGAAGAAAATTCTCATTCTAGATTAAATTAAAACAATTTCAAATTTCAAATTAAATCAAGTATTATAATAACTTGTCTTCAAGTCACCTTAACCGCACCTTAGCTATTGCATAAGGCAATGTCAATGGAAAGGGTTACCAGGATACAGAGGTGAAATTCTACCAGTTCGGACTGGTTCTATAGAACCGGTTGTTACTATTCTGCCCACTTCGGAGAACTGGCAAATTGTGCCCCTGGCTGGCCCCGCCCCTCTCCACCCACCTCTCCCTGCCCAGTCAGTCCTTATCACGCATGTGTGACATCACGCGCATCACTGATTGCATTCTCCCCCGCCCTCCCCATCCCGCCCAGTCACTCCTTATAGTATTTCTTTTTTTTTCCCCCTCCCGATGATCAACTATTCCGACAATCAGCTGTGCCGGGATCCCCTTTACTGTCTTACTGCTTCATCCAGGAGGCTTCCCTGAGGCCCAGGATCCCCCCCTGCACTCAATTTTTGACCTCCTGGGCCTCAGGTAAGCCTTCTTGGACCAAAAACAGCCTCCCAGGAGACTTCCCTGAGGCTCAGGAGGCAAAAAAAAAAAAAAAAGGAGCACGGGGGGGTGCTGTGCAGTCGCTCCGTGCTCCATTTTTTGCCTTCCTGGGTCTCAGGGAAGCTTCCTGGGAGCAAAAATGTCCCCCCAGGCTACCACGAGGCCCCAAAAGCCAAAAAAACAGAGCACAGGGGTGTGTGTGTGCTGCAAAAAGAAGCCATACCACCCAGTCACATGGCCATGCCCACCTAGCCACGGCAACAGAGCCACTAGTAAAACTATTTGCATCCCACCCCTGCCAGGATAGCTAGTCAAAAGTGGTCATCTGTCAAAAGTGATCAGTGAAGCCTAACTGAACTAATAAAAGCACCATGAAGAAAAGATTATTTTCCTTATTTGTTTATTTTAAAAGGTTGTGCTAAAGAGATAAATGTTTCCTTAAATTTTCTCTGCTTCAGTTTCAATTTAATGCAGTGGTATTTTCTATTTGCTCAGCACAGACTATTTCAGGGAATCTGGCTTTTTTTCAACAGCACAGAACTATACATCCTTCTTAAGTGTGATATATTGTGTCTAATTGATTGCTCACATGGAGAACTTTCAACCGCTCACAGAAAATTGAGGTACAGGGAAAGCTAAGTCAATGATCTGCCAGATACTGCTGAATACAACTCTGAGCAAAGAAGCCAGAATGGCTAAAAATAAGAGTGCTGTGAGCTACAAAAACCAGAGAGAAAAATGTTTCCAAAGCTTGCTGCATATTGTTCATGAGGGAGTCTGAGTCTATGTGGGGTGTTGAAGAAAATGTTGATTTAAAATAACTAACTGAATCTTTGGCAGAGGCTTACAAAGTAGAAAAGCATCACCTCAAAAATATCTTGTTAATACATTATTCTCGTGATCGTTATTATCTGAAACCTAGCAATAAATTCAATGTTTCACTTTATTACTTCAGTCAAAATGCCAAAACTATTAGGAGTATAGAATTAATACAATTGCTAAAATATTAATACTAAGCAGTAATCACACTATGGATTCTACAGGCCCAGTAACAATATTTAGACACATTTAAAAATTCATTTTTATCTGACAGTAGATACTGAAGATAGCACAAATTCTGAGTGCTTTGATAATTTAATTATTAGCTGGAGTATAGATTATGGAGAGATGTCCTTATGGAAAATAACATAAGAAAAGATGAACAATTCTCTACAAATAATATCACATAGACAAAGATGATTTTATATGTGACAATTCTATATCTGCCTTCCAATATTACTGTTGATAATACATTAAAACATGCTAAAGTCATTATTATCTTGTACTTTAATATTTAAATATTGACTTAAATATCTAGCTGCAGGAACTAATAAACTGATTGCCAAGTTAGATCCTTTTTGGCAGTTGGAGTCTTTCATTCTATTGTTCATGCATTCAATTTTTTACCCATTACAATTGATAATTTCATAAGGCTGATGAAAATCCATAATAGAATTATGCAGTCCAAATAAACAATGTCAAGATTAATTCAATTAAAATAAAATATATATAAACTACTAATGGTAAGCAATAAAAATGGCGGGATTAAGAATCAAAAGCTCCTAATTTTTTCCCTATTTGAATAATTTTCGAACTGGATTATATTGGCCAGGGTATTCTAAATGCTGCCATAATATTTTGGTTCAGCTTTTG